TCCACATCGATTGACCCAAGGAGCTTCTCAGAAGCCTTCTTGCTGTCGATGAACTGTCCCTCTGGGATGGCACTGGCATTAAGCACCTTGTATCTGTGAGAAGAGGAAGAAAAGGCTATTTTTTCCCAACCAACACATAGTAGCCACTAAACCCCACCAGCTCACATAAGCTATTTTTGACAACAGAGCTGAATGGACCAACAGCACTTTTAACGATGCTGAGAAGTGCAGTGCTCTTACCTCTGTTTGAAGTCAGCGTAGAGGACTCTGCTGGGGAATCCTTTCCTGCAAATCCTGATCCCTTCCAGCACGCCGTTACAGCGCAGCTGGTGCAGCACCAGCTCGTGCTCCATGGCACCTGAGCAATGCAGAGCAGAGCACAAAGGAATGGCACAGATTCCAGTGCAGAGGGGAATGGATGTGCCAGAGCAAAGCCTCTTCCTACTTGAGCATCTTACCAGGTGTTTTAGTCTCATTGGGGATGATGCAGCGCACAAAATGGGGGTGAGTGCTCCGCAGATTGGTCATCAGCTTGTTCAGGTTCTCCTGTGGGATCATATGCTTCAGCTTAGATTAAAGAAACTTACTTCCACATACTTTGTACCTAGATGTCAAGGAATTAATATAATGGATCTTAGGAGAAAGAAGCTTTCAAATCGAAAATTTAGATTTAAATAAACCTTCCATGTACTTTTCATTAAAAAATATTCTCAAAAAAGAGTTAAAAATTTTTCACCCTCTTTTGGACGAGGGTAAAATAATACTGTATAAATCTTTTCTGGGAAGCCTTTTGGGGATTACTACTTATATTACAGAATCTGAAAAATGTTTCTCAAAAAGAATGTGAGTTAAGTCCTATTAAAAAGTCAGAGGATCAAATGAAGACTTGATCCTAAATTTGAACAGAAAACTACTAGGAAAAAGCATTTCATTCTTATTATTGTTCTTCATTCAAACAATGTTGGAAGGAGAACTCAAGTGTATTTAGCTCAGATTTGACACTATGTTCATGTGACTTTACAGACAGTGAATCCATCCTTTACCCGGAAAAGAGCTGAGACAGTCTGGAAAGAGGAACCCTTCTTCTTGCCACCCTTCTTTCCACCACCAGCACCACCACCACTAGCCTCTTAAAAAAAAAAAAAAAAAAAAAAATTGTCAATATATTCTCTTTTTTTTTTGCATTTACATATCACAAAGCTTGAAAAAGAAAATTTATAAAAATAACCTGTTTCTGCTCCACCATAGGAAGCAAAGAGTAAGGCCAGGGTCTTCACAGATGATTTCTGGTACAGCCCAATGACAGTTTCATTCAGGGGGTCCTTGTTCTTCTCCAGCCACCCAGTGATGTTGTAGTCCACTGTGCCAGCGTAGTGCACCAGGGAGAAGTGGGCCTCAGCCTTGCCTTTGGCAGGTTTGGGTTTCTGGAAGTTGCTGGACTTGCCCAGGTGCTGGTCATAGAGCTTGTTCTTGAAAGAGGTGTCAGTTGCCTTGGGGAACATGCACTCCTCTTCCAGGATGGAGAAGATGCCCATGGGCTGGGAGATAGTTCAATAAAAAAGAGAGACTGCCTGTAGAATAATATGACTATGACTTGGTCTCAAGAGAAGATAGCAAAAGACAGGAAGCTGAGAAAAAAACTTTGCCATCGAGATTATTTCTTTCTAAAAAGTGAGTTTAAAAGATTCCCCTGCTTGACTCACACTTTGTCAGTGTTTCAGAAATGGTTTTTATGCCAAAAACCATGTTAAAGATCAGGAGGAGAAAGAATATATTGAAAAATAGTTTTCACAAATGCGTGCATTGCAATTTACTTCTGTTTTTGAACTTTCAATCAATTCCTTTAATTATATGGTAATACAAGAAATCTCAATTTCTTGCTCTCAGACATCAGGCACTGACTGTATTGGCTTGTTCTTACTTTGCTATGAACCATATAGAAAGAAATCTGTTGTTCAGATAACTTTATTCCAGAATCTTAAGAAAGTATTTTCATGTTACTTCAGCAGCTGCTCTGTGTTTTCGAAGATAATAATCAAGCAAATGGAAATACTTTCCATGCAGAGAATGTGTGAGAATTACTTCTATAGTTTTCTCTGGACTTTGTAATATCTATTACGCATAATCAGCAGCAGATATAGACATATTTCAACAACTAAAACTAAGAAACTAACCAGGGGAAATTTAAAATAATGTGTTCCTGAAAATGCAAGATATTTTCAAGAGAAAATGTACCTTCTCAATGAGCTCAATGCAGGCAGCCAGGTCCATCCCAAAGTCAATGAACGTCCACTCAATTCCCTCCTTCTTGTACTCCTCCTGCTCCAGCACGAACATGTGGTGGTTGAAGAACTGTTGCAGTTTCTCATTGGTGAAGTTGATGCACAGCTGCTCCAGGCTGTTGAACTGCACAGTGGAAAAACCCCACAACAATCAGCTCTCATCAACATGCACAGTTATTGATCATGCCTTTATCAATCTTCTCAGTTAAAACACAACTGTTTTATCAGGACCACACCATAACTGAATCTATATGCAGCTCCACAAAGAAATACCTATGTAATGAAATTGAGAGTCTCTATCAGAGCAGATATTCCTAGTGAATCTTCTAAAAATCATAAAATACTTTGGTAATTTTTTATTCAGCCAAAAAGGTGAGTGCATGCTCTTGCCTCCAAATTTAAAAACTTGATTTCTCTGGTTAACATTCCTTGGTTCTTAAAACAATTTACACATTTTTAACCTGTTATTAGCTCAGTTGGTTAGAGCATGGTGCAAATAACACCAAGGTAATGGGTTTGATCCCCATATGGGCTATTCACTTAAGAGTTGATCTCGATGATCTTTGTGGGTCCCTTCCAACTCAGAATATTTTGTGATTCTGTGATATAGTTCTCACTGGGTCTCCTAGTTCTGCTCTAGAACCTCTTCTATAAAATTATTATAATTCTGTTGGTTTATTTAACCCTTAACATTAAGCTCAAACCATTATGCCATAATGCATAAAATTCTTTTTGCTGCTTCTACACAAACAGGATCACGCTGTGCTTGTGCTGATGAAGCTTTTGAGGATTTTGCTCTCTGCTATAAAGGAAAATTATGGGATTTTTTTCCCATAAAGTTGCAAATGATTAGCATGTTAAGCCTTCAGAGGACCGTTGCCTGCAAGTCCTCTAATATAACAATCTCTCACTGCAAGAGTAGTCCTCAAAACTGGAATCCTTACATCGAAGATCTCAAAGCCAGCAATGTCCAGCACACCAATGAAGTACTGCCTGGGCTGCTTCGTGTCCAGCTGTTGGTTGATGCGAACAACCATCCACAGGAACATCTTCTCATAGACAGCCTTTGCCAGGGCACCCACTGAATTGTTCACCTAAAGCACAGAGAAAGGTTTGGAGGTTACTACACACAGCAGAGGAGAATCAACACCAGCCACCAAAGCATGTTCCAGATTATCCTGTTTTTCCTACCTGCTGCACCGTTTGGCCCTTGGTCACATATTCATTCCCCACCTTGACTCGGGGGTAGCAGAGGGCCTTGAGCAGGTCTGCTGAGTTCAGACCCATCAAGTAGGCAGCCTTGTCAGCAACTAAGTAGAAAGACAAAAAGATAGAAAAATTAAGACTAATATGACATATGTCCTTGTGATGAGATCCTGTGTACTGGATCTCAGAGAAACCATGACATAGTTATTAAAAAAAAAATTAATCTTTATTTTTTATGCTTTACAGAGCAGCACATCTAAAGGTTCTTTGTGTCTATTTAGAAGGAATATGTATTTATTAAAATTCATAACTGCATTTATTAGTAGTTTTCCCCTAAATAATAAATGGTTTATGAAGTAGAAGTCCTAATACTGAATATAATCCCTCCATTTTCTTTAAAAATCAACCTGAGTAAGTTTTTTTAAAATCTTTCCCTTCTCAGTGGTTTTAAGGACACTGAGCAGGCTGTGCTAATTCAGAGTGGTAGCTCAGGAGAGATTTATGGGCATATATGCAATTGATATTGCAGATAATGATTAGGCAGTAATCAAAAAAAGGGTGTACTTTGGATGGCAGTTTCATGCCTGTATACTATTTCGCTTAAGCACATTTGTACTGTTTTCTTTCTCTATCTTCCCAATATTGAATTATTATTGCTACTTCTATTTCTAACAGGTCAGCCAAAGATTTTGCTGATACCTTCAGTGCCATCAGGCTCTGCCTGCTCCTCACGCTGCTTCTGCTTGAACTTCAGGTTCCCGTAGTGCATGACTGCCCCTGTCAGCTTGTAGATGGCTGTTTTCTCATCAGCACTGAAGCCCAGGATGTCAATGGCACTCTGCACCAGGAACAGTAAAATAAGAGCTTTGTCTTGGAGAGATGACAATAGGTACAATATTCTTAATTGCTACTCACATCCGTGGCCATCAGCTCCTCCTGGTCATTAATGCTGGCAACAGTGATCTCACCTTGACTCACAAACTGATAGTCATATGGGTTGGTGGTGATGAGGAGCATGTCTGAAAGTAAGAGGGAATATACAGGCTAATTTTAGTCAAGCAAGTAATGGTGTGAACTGTTCAGCAATCTTCCTCCAGTTATTTATCCTTCCTACCAATTAGCTCTGGCTTCTTGTTGGACATGATCTGATAGAAGATGTGGTAGCTTCTTTCCGCCTTGAGCTGGAAAGTGACTCTGGACTTCTCCAGCAGATCTGGAGGAAAAATTTTAGTTAGAAAAAATTAGGGATAGGAAAAAAAAAAAAAAGAAAGTAAAAAGAAGATGGGAAGAAAAACAGGGAAGGCAGGATAGATGGGTGGATGAAAAGATGTATGGGTGACAGGTGAGTAGATGGATTGAGAACAGTTCAGGAAAGTGTCTTACATGTTTCAATATCTGCAGAAGCCAGTTTTCCTGTGGCACCAAAATGAATTCTGATGAATTTGCCCTTTAAAGGAATTAAAGTGTCTTAGGATTTACAACATAAAAAAATATATCTGAAATGAAGAGTTTTCCATTTATTATGCAGGCTACAAGATTTTTACTTAGAGACATTCCACCATTGACATAAAGTTGTCTTTTTCATTTTTGACCAAAAACCAATCAACGGTGGCACAACTATATTTTGTGTAGGTGGAATGTACAAATGTGAAGGAATGTGTGGGTTTCCTCGGGGAAACTATTCTAACTATGTCCTGCATACAGAGACCAGTTGCCTTAATGATATGAAAATCGCAATTTAAGTAGTTCAGCTGCTTAAATCTATATTGCTCGTAGACAACTTCACTTCTGGTTAAATAGATTTGAGATAAAGCAAATACATTATTCAATTAGAAACTCTCTCCCTTTCTTCCTTCCTTCCGTCCTTTCTTCCTTCCTTCCTTCCTTCCTTCCTTCCTTCCTTCCTTCTTTCCTTCCTTCCTGACCAACAGAAAAGGATGACTGACATAAACTTTCATTTCCTATGTTTGAGGAATCATTTTGTTAAGCAACTCACAAAGCGTGAGGAGTTGTCGTTCCTCACGGTCTTGGCGTTTCCAAAGGCCTCCAGCAGTGGGTTGGCGCTGATGATTTGATCCTCAAGCGTTCCCTGCAGGGGGGAAATTACTGATGGTTATCCTTTCCAGAAGCCTTGTCAGGAACAGAGGAAAGCATTGATGTCAGCATGTGTCTATTAGTTTACCTGCATTTTGCCTGACGTCTGCTCCTCCTTCTTCTTGTCCCCGCTGGCTGCAATTGTTGCAAAGTACTGGATGACACGCTTTGTGTTCACAGTCTTCCCGGCCCCGGATTCTCCGCTGGCAGAGCAAGGAGAGAAGCAGAGAGCGTGTGGTCAGGCAGGAGGGGCCCTGGCCCTGGGCAGCCCCGCAG